AATGATTAGTGCCAGTCATATTTTTGTTTTCATGGTTTGTGTATATGTAGGTATATGTCACTTCTCATGTTGCATTAAAACTATGTTGACTATCTGCTAACAGTTCATATCTTTTCTTCTACAGCCTCCAAGTCTGTTATAAATAGTATGCTACGGGACCCTTCTCAGATTCCAGATGGAGTTCTAGCAAATCAGGTCTATCAGGTATTAATCACAGCTGTCTATTTTCAGTGGCAATGCTGTTATCTGCCTAGCCGAGTAAAGGATTTTAAACCTCATTTAATTACTGTCATCATAAACTATCACTGAGGTCAGGGTGCACCATAAATGGCAATGCAGTATTTGCAAGAAGAGCATTTCACTTTTTAATAGCTTGCTTTTATAGTGAATAAAAAGCATGCAATTTTTGTTTTCTGTGATTAAATCTGAACCGCCTTTTGATAGCTTTCCTTTTTGGGGGGTGGTGGGGGGAGAAAAGTAATTACTGCTTTTAGGATACTGTTTACTGTGATAGTTTTTGTAGTTGCCCCACCCCAGACCGCTTTTCTTATTTGTCTGCAGTGCATTGTGAACGACTGCTGTTATGGACCACTGGTGGACTGCATCAAGCAGTATCCTTTCCCATAAAATTTTAGGTGCGCAATTGACGAGCTTAGACTCAGTGGAGATGTGTCTAGCTTTAACCTGACATAAAGTTCTGCTTCACAAAACACGTTTCATACTCTTCTATTTTACATTCAATCAACTGGAGGGTCACTACAGACCATTCTTTCCTACAGCTTAAGAAATATCAGATAGACCACAGGAAGATGTCAGTTCAGCAGTTACACATTCACATGCTTATTTCAAACTGCTTGGTTTTCAATGAGTTTAAAGGTACAGAGTCATTAGGCAGGTAACATAATGTCTTGGAATGTATCTACCCATCCCAGGAAATATTTTTTTAAAAATATAACAAATTTCCATTTAAAATGAGCCAAATTTTGTTGAATTTACTAGAATAAATTCAGAGCCTGGAGTTAAAGGAGGTTGTGATTAAAATGCTTCCAGAGACATCACATTTTAAAGGCAACAGACTCTTATTGCTTAAATGCTGATTACAATCTGAGCCGGCATTTGGATTCCTAATAAACATTTTTAGAGAAATCAAGTTAATTTTTCCTCCTGGAATAAATTTAAGGTTGTGAAAACAGAAGTCTAGTCACTTTTCATTAAAGACGTTGAGATTACTAAAGAGTTAATGTTCACTTTTTAAAACAAGATTGGGCAGACAGTAACTACATATAGTAGGACATTATTAATCAATAAATTTAGTAGTACTGTGGCAACAGTAAGGTTTTTGATAATCCTTTATCAGATTTACTTTTATAATAATTTACTACTTAAATGGTAAATAATAAGTAATTTTTATGAGAATAATTTCTTTCTGAGTCCATGAATTTCACCCCTCTTAATAATATAAACATGTCCCTCCGGGAATGGATTTTGTTAGCATGGATGGCACTGTGATGAATTGTGACTCAGTAATTACTAGTCAGGAGGCTTTTTGTTGGAAACTCCTGCTAGTCAAATTGTGTACATGTATGTGTTTATATCCCACCTTCTTTCACAAAGGCTTAGAATCAGTAACATTTTTAACAAGAAAATCATGCCTTTATAAGTAATCTTTGCTAAATAGCCTTTTAACAGAGCCCTCTTAAAGAATATTCAGTATTGAAGATATAGCCCTTTATGTATTTATCTTCCAAGTCTGTTTCTCTGGTCTAGCTTAAGTTAGTAAAAACACAGCATTATCCCAAGCTCACCTTTTTATTAAACCAAGGTGAAACTGTACTTCTATATTCAGTATAAAATTAATGATAGTGTTAGAAATTGTAGGAGTGCGAATCTCATGTTGCTACACTGATAAAGTTTAGCACATTCATATAACAACTAACACCATCTCAGAGTATCTGGGGTTGAATTACATGTTAATTTTAAAGCACATAAAATAGTTAAAAATCAATTTAAAGTTAAGGTTTTAAAAGCATAATGTCTTTTGAAGGATTGCATATTGATTTTAAATATAACTATCTAATTATGTATGCATGGACTAAAGTATGAAGTCAACTGCTTTGTAAATGCCAGGAGGCTATTTTTCAGTAATAGTTGAGATGCTTACGGGAAACTAGATTGCTGTATTGCTGGCGAAGAAAATGGCTTGTGAGGTTATTTACAAGTTTTGCCCATGGTCACTGCCATACATCAATAATAGGTATTATTATAGACAAAGTCTAAGTGTTTTTGCTTATAGAGCATTATAAATTCTGTTTGGAGTATTTTCCTTACATTTTTGCCATCATTCACTTTCCATTTTTGGCTGTGTTACTGCCAGTAGAATTTAATGTAGTACATGATTTCAATTGATGAAGATAGTGACATATGTCTATAAATTACATTCACTGACTAGGTTATAATTTTTGCAGTTTCATTATGTCTGTTGCCAGAAAACTACAGATTTTATAAGTTTTATTTTCTAGACTTTGCATTTTATATATGTTTATATCAAGCAAAGCATAATTAAGAAACATATCTTTCCAAAATTTCAAATTGGTGATTGCTTTTATCATGCAAAATAAAACAGGCTGGAAAGTTTACAGAGAAACTGATTCTGTCTTTGCATTGAAGTAGTAGCAGTTTCATATAATGTATAAATACACTTGCATAGATGTTTCCTAGACTGATCAGCAATAATTATTTTATTTCACACCGAATAAAAATTATTGTTTTTCCATGTGAGTAAATGTGCTGTTTATTTTTCTGATAATTTGGTAATATTTACATTGCTTACTCTCAGTAAATTACATCATGTTGTGAGAAAGAAAGCACACATTCAGTAAATAAGATAGGTGCTAAACCTTCTTAGTACATTATGAAAATGTTATATTTGTGTAAGTAGAATAAAATAAATTGGTCATTTACTAGTAAGACATCACAGAAAGCACAGTTAGCAAAGAGTATATACATCATCATTGTGCTTTCTCTCTCTCTTTTTTTTTTTTTTTTTTTGGTATCTACTGTATTTTTTCCTATGCAGCCATGCCCACCTACACCTTTCCCACCACAGCTTATACTCACCAAGGAAAAAATGTGAGAAATCAGCCACCTCAACTTTCCAAAGTGTGACTCCAGGACACAGCTATTAGACAAAAGCATAAACTGTGAAGCAAGGAAAGATAATGATGCAGGAAGCTTCAAATGCTGTGGGTTTCATTTCTGTACCATCAGAAACCTCAGTTTCATGATTCAACATTTTAGATGTAAATAATTTACAACAGTAAAAATGAGAGCACATTTGTGTGGAATAGAAGTAAATAATTTAATTCTAAAATGTGGGATGTCCCTAGTAATGAGAGACCATTGAGAGTTATTCATCAAATGTCTTCAATGGACTCTGAAAATTTGTGAAATTTTGTGGTTAAAAAATCTGTTTCTTTATTTTGTTTCTCTTTAGAAATTGCAAAAGCAGAGCCTTGGAGGGCAGGGGACAACTGGAGGAAAAAGCAATAATGATGATTTAGGGCATGTTTTGCTGGAACATAAATGGCCACATCTCTTGGATTCTAAGATTTAAATAGTATTCACCTGTATATTTTGGTAAAATGCAAGATAATTCTCTAGGGTTTTTTTTTTTTTTTTTTTTTTACAAGCAACATAGAAGTTTTATTTAAGTTAAACTCGATCAGAATCAGCTTCTCTGGTAAGCCAAGGAGTGATGTGACCAGGTTGATGATACCAGTGAAAAGGACAATGAAGGTAATGATTCACATAATTATTAGCAAATGCAAATGCTTTTGAGTCAATTGAAATACTAGAGTAGGATTACACTCCTTTTCAGACTTTGGGCAATCTCGTCTGTTTGGAAAATACACAGCACTTCCATATTCTACTCCTGATTTCATAATTTACCAGCCATGGGACCTTCAGCAAATTCCCCAGCCTCCCTGAAGCTTACTTTCCTTAATTGTAAAAATGTGACTAATAGGCTGGGTGCGGTGACTCACACCTGTGATCTCAGCACTTTGGAAGGCTGAGATGGGCAGATCACTTGAAGTTAGGAGTTTGAGACCATCCTGGCCTACATGGTGAAACTCCTTCTCTACTGAAAACACAAAAATTAGCCAGGTATGGTGGCAGGCACCTGTAATTCCAGCTACTCAGGAGGCTGAGGCCGAAGAACTGCGTGAACCCAGGAGGCAGAGGTTGCAGTAAGTCGAGATATGCCACTGCCCTCCAGCCTGGGCAAGACCAAGAGTCCATCTCAAAAAAAAAAAAAAGAAAAAAGAGGGACTAATATTAGTATCTATTTGTGTGGCTATTGTAAGATGGTATCCCAAAGTATTTAGCACAAAGACTTCATGTATGATATTTAAGAAATATTAGCTATTGTCAATTATTATTACCTAATTTTAATACTTTTGAGAAGCTATATGGAGGTCATAAACATAGACTTGGCAGAGATCTTGTTGTTATCTTCTTTGCCACTCATTAACTGTATGCCCTGTGCACGTACCTTCTGACCCTTGGTTTCCTCATCTATAAAATAATTATTATAATTATGAGGATAAAAAAACATACTAAAAGCACTTAACACAGTGTCTACCACATAGTAAGCACTGAAAAAATATACATTCATATGTGTATCTATTTAGATGCATATACATGCATATACATACACACATAAGAAAAAGACTCTTGAAATAGCCTCTGTACCCACACCCGAATCCACAACTCTTTACTAAGATGTCTTTCCTGCAGATTACATATATTCTTAACAAATCACTTGTTTGGCTTGCAAGTCGCAACAGTCGACTGGAAGTGAAACAAAGAAGTTTCTAAATGTTGGCCTGATGACAAATGTGAATTCACAGAAGATTTCCAGAACTCTCTAAGACTAGGAATTCTTCTAGGGCAAAGGCTGCCTAGTATTCTTTATGGTACCTATTAAGTGCTTAATAAATGTATGCTAAATTGAGTTGAGGGATTTTAATTTAAAAATTTTTTTAGAATTTTTTTTTTCAGAGCCTTACCCAGCTGGCCTCAAGTGATCCTTCCACCTCAGCCTCCAGGGTGGCTGGGGTTATAGGCGCAAGCCACCTTGCCCAGCTGAATTGAAAGATTTTTAACACAGATTAAAGTACATTTAAAATGTCTCTCCTTCTTTACAAAATACAAAGTACACATCCATTTACAGATCTTTGTTTGCCAAAATATATAGAAAAATTATAGAAAAAGCTGGACACAGTGGCTCATGCCTGTAATCCCAGCACTTTGGGAGGCCGAGGTGGGAGAATCACTTGAGCCTAGGAGTTTGAGACCAGCCTGAGCAACATAGTGTGATTCCATCTCTAAAAAAAAAAAAAAAATTACCCAGGCATGGTGGGTGGTACACCCCTGTAGTCCCTGGTACTCGGGAGGCTGAGGTGGCAGGATCGCTTGAGCCCAGGAGTTCAAGGTTATAGTGAGCTATGATTGTGCCAGTGCTCTCCAACCTGAGCAACAGAGCAAGACCCTCTCTCTATTTAAAAAAAAAAAAAGTTTTAAAAAATTGTAGAAAAATTCGATCAAATTATTTAAATGAGGGAATGTGTGTAGAGATGTCATTCCTCAAAGATGTGGACTAAGGGCAAAAATGGCTGCTCAAACTACCTCAATGCTTCATTTCGTCTCAAAGTATAGACCTGGTATTAGCATTTTCCTGCTGGTATAATTCTGCCTGTGTTACCCCCTTAACTGAAACTTCCCAGTGCCATTGGTCATGAGCATGAAGTCCTGCTGAGAGACTTACTTCTAGAGAAAAACTTGTCCTTCCTCGGTAAGTATTATTCACATCTTCTGTAGCTTGTGTTGTCTCCATGAGTGCTTAAATATATATTTTAAAAATCTTCCACTAAAGGAAGGGTGAATGATGATTGATGCTCTGCATATTATCTTTTATTGATTTGGAACTGAGCAGGAACTCAGTTACCTAATCTCCTATATATACAGCACATGCACAAGCTTGCAATTAATATTTTATAGAATAAGTGGCTGAAAAAATGCTTTAATATCTGTTGCAGTATTACTTTTGGTGTCATGAGATATTAACCATAATCTAGGCCTTATGAGAAAAGGAAACAAAAGAAATATTGTCTATAAAATGTTTTATATATTAAAAAGAACAGTTAGAAAGATTCATGTTGGGTATATTTGTCTCATATATGGAACTCGGTAGTACTTTTACTTGAAAGCAAAATATTAAGCCTTTATTATTTCATGCCAAGCGTTCATTGACATCATGGATTTATTATGATTTTTTTAAAATCCCACATGTATTCATGTGTTTGTGTATTACAAATTATTATTTCTTCCAACATCTCTTAAGCATTAGAAATTAAGCCTCAGGCCGGGCACAGTGGCTCACACCTGTAATCCCAGCACTTTGGGAGGCTGAGGCGGGCGGATCACGAGGTCAGGAGATTGAGACCATCCCGGCTAACACGATGAAACCCCATCTCTACTAAAAATACAAAAAAAAATAGCCGGGCATGGTAGCGGGCACCTGTAGTCGCAGCTACTCGGGAGGCTGAGGCAGGAGAATGGTGTGAGCCCAGGAGGCGGAGCTTGCAGTGAGCTGAGATCTCGACCACTGCACTCCAACCTGGGCGGCAAAGCGAGACTCCATCAAAAAAAAAAAAAAGACATTAAGCCTCAAACGACTATACATATAATAAGTGATCACAGAAACCATAAAGCACCCTACAATGAATTAATTTCTCTTCTCCACTTTTAATGTGGTAATTTGTAAAGGTTACATACAAGTCATTTTATTATTAAACAGATCTATTTTATATAGATATTGAAGAGTCTGCAAAATGTTTATTTTAGGACATACACAAAAAATAGAACAATATTGGATTACATAAGTTTTGTTCTAAAATGGACAAAGAATTGGCCAAGGAAAACCAAATGCGGAGAAATGTCAAGGAAGAGATGTTTAATAAAGTCCTACAAAGTATCTATTCCAAATCTTAATGTTTGATATTTTTATTAATAAACTGTAGAATAAAATTGAATGTATTATAAGATTGTTTTAATTTGAAGCTTGGAGATATCATAAATATTCCCTAGTTAGGGTAAATAAAGTTGATCAATTAGGCAGGTGTTCTCAAGTCACTAAATTAAATCTCAGTATGTTGAAGCAGCAAGATTTTTCATATGGGGACAGTTGAATTATTTAGCCTATGGAAAGAGGGTAAGTTGGAAGAAATCACCTTTTAAAAGTCTAATCAAAAGGAAAATATGTAACAGTTCAGAACCAGTTGGAATGTGTGGCCTGTGATGCACTATGAGATATGTTTTGGAACCAGGTAGTTCTGATAGTATTATGAAATATCTGATCACATTGATTACTCAGATAGGGGCCAATATGTCATGGCCACGTCTATTTTCTGTTTTGTTTTTTTTGAAGCCACCAAGTAAGCAGCAGCATTGTCGGAGCTGCTGAGCACCACTCTCTGGGTGCCATCAGCCTACGGACAGTCAGGCCTTCAGCCCCATTTTTTTGTTTGGCCTAACTTTTCTCTGCTTCCTTCTTGAGAACTAGCCGATCCCAGCTGGGGAAAAAAAAAAAAAAAAGCAAAGATTGTAGATGTGGGCTAAACTTAGTCCTAGTCCTCAGCTTACTTGAACTTGAATGTGTTAGATTGGATTCACCATGACGGACAAAAGCAATGTAAAAATGTGGTCCGGGGGTCATCTCTGCTTGCAAACAAGTACAGAAAGGGGACTTGAAATTGAAATTCATGGGTCTCATCTGTTCCTCTGTGCTGTAGAATCTGGATAATTATTTTATGGAAGCATACTCAAAGAGGATATTTAATTGATCTTTAAAAATAAATGAGATAGGCCGGGCATGGTGGCTCAAGCCTGTAATCCCAGCAGTTTGGGAGGCCGAGACGGATCACGAGGTCCGGAGATCGAGACCATCCTTGCTAACCCGGTGAAACCCCGTCTCTCTTAAAAAATACAAAAAACTAGCCGGGCGAGGTGGCGGGTGTCTGTAGTCCCAGCTACTCTGGAGGCTGAGGCGTGAACCCGGGAGGCGGAGCTTGCAGTGAGCCAAGATCCAGCCACTGCACTCCAGCCTGGGCGACAGAGTGAGACTCTGTCTCAAATAAATAAATAAACAAACAAACAAACACATAAATAAGTAAATAAATAAATGAGATATAGGAAGTTGATGCAACCTGAGCCCTGTTTTAAAGCATTTTCTCATCAACATACAAAGAAGTTGTTAATTCTTCGTATTTTTAATGTAGCACTGGATTAACATATGTTTGTGGTTGAAAAATGAAGATTGAAAGCTTTGTATGAAATACTATTATGAGGCTGTTGTCCTTTTACCTTATAAATACCCCTTCACAGAGATTAATTAGATTTAAAGCGTTGTGCCAGGTAAATTTAGATAGATCATTTTAAAGCCAACTATGGAAAAAGTATTGGTAAATAAGTAGACCACTAATCTTATTCTTTCTTGTTTACATGTGTACACCTTGAATTTTGTTGCAGAGACATTGCAAATATGTTTAATTTATTTTGATCCTTTGCTAAGCAGAAGTAAAATATCTCTCTCTCTCTCTCTCTCTCTCTCTGTTGGCTTCTAATTTGGACTATATTTGAAAGACAAATATTCTCATCTTTTAATATAAGATAATTCGTATATTTAAGAATTATGACTTTCCTGAAAATATTTTACCGCATTCTAACTTTTCCACACATTGTGCTCTATATTTGTTTTATAAAATGCATATTTTATCTTTCCTCTTACCAATTGAAGGGAAAAATAAAAGTAAATCACTATTTCTTTCTTAAATTTCCTTGGTTCATAACTGCATCCTGAGCAGTTGTTATGGCACAAGATCTAGCCAGGCACTATAGGAGAGAAAAACAGAAGTGTTCTTATCATTGAAGATTTGAATGTACTGATATGAGTTCATCCTATCTTTTAAACTTATCCTATTTGTACTTCCACACATAAGTATATTGTATTAAGGCAGGTCAAAGTTAAATAAATGACTTCAGCTTCTCCAACTAAAAAATGTTTTTCATGCACATATTTACTCATTTATTCTACAAATAAGTTACTAAGTTGGATACTGTTTTAGACACTGGATAAGTCAGATGAAGTGTCTGCTTTAATGGGGTTATGGTCCAGTAGGGAGACAAACTACAAATGAACACCGATAATTTCTAGCAGTTTCTGAGAGTCCATGTAATTCTTCCCTTCATTATTTATTCATTCTTTTCAATTAACTTTTGTTGTGTTCTCTGCATGCCAGGAACTACACTAGTTAGTATGAAATGATTGATTATAAGCACTCTGTGCCCCCAGTGCTCATAGCCAAGCACCGTATTGCATGTGTGATCCAATGAGATTGCAGTTTTCTCTGTGATCCAGTGAGAATCCAGTGAGAATGCATCTCACTTAGTAGGTGCTCACATGATTGTCTCGATAATGAGAATAAAAACTCAAGGCTGTTAGGCTACTTTCATTAAACCTTTCAAAGAAAGATACAAATTATACTCAATATCAGTCATTGTCCTCTATGAATGAAGAAAATGCTGCTGCCTCATGAGCTGCTTTTTCCTGAAATAGTGATGGAATTTTACTTATTGATTTGTTCTTTGTCACCAAGACCTTCCTGCCACAGTGTATGTCTAGGATGGCCAGTTGAGCTCATAAGGTTGGCTCTATCGCCAGTAGCTAACTACTCATTTAAGTCTGCTGTGGGCAGACACCATTAAGAATTTTAAAGAAACAAACTTTTTTTTTTTTTTTAAAGTTGATGCAAACATGGGAAAATTGAAGATAAGTTTTAAGTTTCAGTACATGTCAGCAATTCTTTCCAAGGATAATTAATTTAGAATTAATATTTGTTGGCCCTATCTCAGTACTTTGGGAGGCTGAGGCAGGAGGATCACATGAGGCCAGGATTCAAGACCAGCCTGGGCAACATAGGGAGATCTTGTCTCTACACAAAATTGTTTAAAAAAATTAACTGGGGTGGTGGTAGGCACCTGTAGTCCCAGCTACTTGGGAGGCCAAAGTGGGAGGATCGCTTAAGCCCAGGAGTTCAAGATTACAGTGAACTGTGGTCATTCCACTGCACTCCAGCTTGGGTGACAGAGTGAGACCCTGTCTCTAACTAAGATAGACAGATGATAGATAGATAGATAGATAGATAGATAGATAGATAGATAGATAGATAGATAGATAGATAGATAGATAGATATCAGCATTTAAAGTCTCAAAAGACATGTTCAACTTGCTGCCCCTTCCTCGGCTTAGCTGCACAAAAAACTCCTCAACTTTAAATTGAACCATAAGCATTGTGAACATCCCATTACCTCTGCTAAGGGTTCAGTCAATGCCATATAGACAAAGCAGAAAATGTATTTCATCTACTGGTAGAGAAGTGTTGATTTGTATCTCTCAAGTGATTATCGAGACCATATTTTGCTGTTATCCCCTCTATTTTTTTTTTTCCTTTTTGTTTTGTTCAGTTTTGGTTTGGTTCTGTTTTTTTTTTTTTTTAAGAGCTTTGGACAAAAAGACAGGAAAGGAACAGAAAATAGTGACAATGCGAAGGCAACAAGACAGTTTGCCCTGTTAGGTAAAATATGAAAGAGCTCATACCAAAGAGTGAAGATAAACCATCCGTCTTTTCTGAGTTGGCATATCTCCAGGTTGGAGGGCCTTTCATTAGTGACGGCCACAGCCACCGGCTGGTGCAAATTCTTGTTAAGTTTGGCCTAATAATGATGGTTCTGGAG